CTCACATGCCATCAGGACCCACTGGTGTTCCCCTTCCCACTTCATCTTCTTCCTTGGTCATTTTGACCAAAACCCTAGGTTCCTACCAATCAGCTTAACCCCTCAACTTCTCCCTCCTATTTCTAGCTTTATAGAACACCCCTCCATCTGATTTATGAGCTTTCACACTCCCTGTATACCCTTTTACCAAACCCAATAGGTTATATGCCTTGAATTAATCTTGAACCCCTTCAAAAATTTGCTCAAAGTGAGCTCAAAACTCACTTTCAAGAATGAGGTCAAACTTGAAAATTTTATTTTCACCCTCTAAACAACCCTTAAACCAATTTCTAAGGCCATAATCGAGTTCCTAAGGTCCATCTTAGCTAGGGGACCCCTCATTCAAAGCTCAACACATCCAAACCAATGAGAAGAAATTCTCCATGGCCAAAACTTCCCCACCGCCGTCAGACCACCACCGGCCATGGCAAAGCCACCAAACCACCACCATACATCACCCTAACACCCCCAGAACACAACCCTATGCTTCAATTAATCCAAAGCACTTGGGATTTACAAACCTGTTTCGTGAAAACCTAAAACCTAAAACTTTAAACTTTGAATTTGTTCAATAACAGTACATGAAACAAAATTCTAACTATACTACTTAATTCCTAGCATCCTTATTAGTCTATTAGTATACTTGTTGTTTGAAGATACTTCTATGGAAAACTCGAATATTCAAGCTTTGGTGTTTCTCTCTTTCTTCTATTTCTCTCTTCCAACCAATTTTCTCTACTTTTAAATCCTTCAAACAAGTTGACTCACCTTCAAGCTGTTGGGTGAAGTTCATGCAGGCCAACAGAAGCTATCAAAACCCTATTTTGTATCTTACTTGATGCCAACACTAATCGATTGAGGTCGTTAAACCCTATTTTGTATGTGTGATTGTGGAGGTGATAGTGAGAGTGGAGGTGTTGTGCTAGGTTTGACTAGTTACCAATGGAGGTGAAAGTGTTGAAGGGTAGTGGATGATGGTGAGTTGTATTGTTGGTTTGTTTAAGCTATCGAAAATGATGGTGTTGGCTGATTTTGGGTGGTGTTAGGTTGGTTTGAATGGATGTAATGTGTTTTTTTCATTGTTTTGAGGGTACAAGTTTTTTATTTTTTATTTATGATGTTTATTTTGTTTAGAGTAGTTTGGGGCTTCAAAAATAATTTGGAGGAGATAAGATTGAGGGTTGAGGACCTTGATGTCATATTTATACTTTTTCATTCTAGTTAGTTATGTAAGTTAATTTAGTCAATTTGACATTTTTGGGGGGGGGGGGCAATTTGTTAAAATTGAAATTTGAGGTAGTTAATTGCAATAACACCCATATTTGAGGGGGTAATTTATAATTAACCATAATATTTAGTTCAAGAATATATATGAATTTGAATTTTTTTTAAGCCACCCGTTTAATAAACACGTGGACTCAATACGATACGATTAATAAACGAATCAGGTAAAGTAACTCAAAAGAAATATATGACACAACTCGTTTCTATACATGTTATATACGATACGAATTCGATATAATACGATTTGTTAGACATAAATTAATAAACGAATCGGGTATGAATGGAGTTTTTTTTGACACGAACCCGCTATGACCCGTTATAAACCAATCTCACTCGACCCGATTGACAGGCTTAATCTATTCTAATAATTACGGAATTACTATAAAACATAATAAACATCAAAAAATGATGGAAGACCACTTTATATTCTTTCATATTCCAATATTTAACTCTGTTTTTTATGCTCATTAATTTTATTTGTGAATTCCTACCTCAACTTCACTTTATTTGAACTATTTTTAAATTGTAAATAATTGGAATAGTGAATAATTTTTGTCTTGCCCCACGAAGAAATTATTAAANACCCTGACGAAAAAACTAACAGAATGATCATATTACGATAATTTTGATACATTAATGGTATACTGTGAAAAATTTAATTTTTGAGGATATAAAATGAAAATCTTGAAATCTTTTATAACGCAAAAGGGCAATTTGCCCTTTAAAAATAAATGTCATAATTTGAGGGGGTATTTATGAAATTTACCCTTTTTGGTTCAACTACGTGGGTTAACCCGACCCGCCAAATTTCTGCATATGTACAAATCGCTAGGGTTTAAGGTTTATCAGCTGAGGAATCCTTGGGCTCAAAAGATTTCAAGATTCTGCCTATGTACACATCGGTAGGGTCCGTTTGGTAATTGTTAAATTTTTAATTTTTTTTTTTAATTTTTGAAAAATTTAAAATTTAAACTCGATAACTATGTTAATTGTCCTTTAACTAAAATCGTTTTTAAAGTTGTCTTAAATTTTAAAAAGGAAAAAAAATCGTTTCCAAAAAAAAAAAAAAAGGAAACGGACGGAAGAATGAGATCCGACCATCGACAAACTAAATCCTCTGCCAAAAAAACCTCAAGCAAAAATATTTAAACCCTCAAACTCTCTTTCATCTCATCGTCTCACTCATTCCATTCGTTCAGCAGAGGCGTTTCAGCAGAGGAGTTCCAGGCGTCCAGCAGCTTCGTCTCTCTCGTCTTCACCTAGGCCGTTCACTGCAACTTCGTCACTCTTGTCTTCACCTAGGGCGTTCCAGCAGAGGAGTTAAGGTTTAAGTTCTCTCTCTCTCCACTTCTTGTTCTACTCTCCTCTGCTGGTAAGCACCCCCATCTCTCTCTCGCTCTATATTTAATATGCATATACCCTATTGAAGGTTACATCAATCGCTCTGATAAGTCTAAATTTGATTTTTTTCGAAATTAGTTTTATGCCTAAATTCTTGTTCTGGGTAAATTACTCAAGTTATTATTTTCATCTAGTCATCAGTGAGAAAAGTTTCATACCTATAGATACACAGAAAGAAACTGTTAAGTAATCGATGCCCTGTACTTTTCTGTTATTTTTTGAATTGCAGTGATGGAAGATAATGAAGAAAGCGAGTTTGAGAAGGAAAAGTTCTTAAAATTTGAACTCAAAGTGTGCCATGAAGCTAAATTACAAGAGTTACTGCGTAATATAACCTCAACTGAACTTAAATTATGTTCAGACGCCTCAAAAGAGTTCATCAAGTTACTGAAAGGTGATTCTGGAGGCGAATTGCTCCGCCAATACATACAAACGTCCTCAAAGTGCTCTGAGCTTCTACAAGCGTGGAAGGTCCGACAGGGCAAACCCGGATTATCATACATATTGTCACTAATTTCCACCATCTTATGTCATCCAGATGGAAAATACAGTCACGATGATCTGAAAGGTGTTGGTATGAGTAGGGATTTGGATAAATTTGCTCGTTTGATAGTTAACGAAAACTTGGGAGATCTTTATAAGGAACTGAATAGTAAAGAAGCAAAGCGCCAGAATGCTGTACTTTCTTTATTGGCGTCTGTTGTTAGACGTGGGTCAGGATTGGCCTCAGATGTCGCTAAGAATTTTGATTTTAAGCTTACTATTTTTCCTAAGCTCGCGGAGTGTAAACATAAGCGAACAGAGGTGAAAAGGAAGCATTCTACGAGAAAATCATTTGTCAGGTTTGCAATGTCCTTTTTGGAAGTGGGGAAACCTGGACTGTTAAGGTGGGTATTACAACAGAAGGAAATGTATTCAGGTGTGTTCCGTGGGCTTGCGAATGATGAGGATGAGATAGTTATTTATGTTCTGTCCACTTTACGGGATAGGGTTCTTACTCCGGAGTCATTGGTACCTCCAGGGCTCCGGAGTGTTCTGTTTGGGAGCGTTACTCTGGATCAACTAATCTGCATTTCTGGTAGGGAAAACGGTGGAATTGCTGCAGAGATAGCACACAGTGTCCTGGTTATGGTTTGCACTGACTCTTCCAATGGGTTGATGCCGGATTTGAAGAGACACCCTGATCCTTTAAGAGGCAATCCAAAGCGACTTTTGGNACCCTGACGAAAAAACTAACAGAATGATCATATTACGATAATTTTGATACATTAATGGTATACTGTGAAAAATTTAATTTTTGAGGATATAAAATGAAAATCTTGAAATCTTTTATAACGCAAAAGGGCAATTTGCCCTTTAAAAATAAATGTCATAATTTGAGGGGGTATTTATGAAATTTACCCTTTTTGGTTCAACTACGTGGGTTAACCCGACCCGCCAAATTTCTGCATATGTACAAATCGCTAGGGTTTAAGGTTTATCAGCTGAGGAATCCTTGGGCTCAATAGATTTCAAGATTCTGCCTATGTACACATCGGTAGGGTCCGTTTGGTAACTGTTAAATTTTTAATTTTTTTTATTTTTATTTTTAATTTTTGAAAAATTTAAAATTTAAACTCGATAACTATGTTAATTGTCCTTTAACTAAAATCGTTTTTAAAGTTGTCTTAAATTTTAAAAAGGAAAAAAAATCGTTTCCAAAAAAAAAAAAAAAGGAAACGGACGGAAGAATGAGATCCGACCATCGACAAACTAAATCCTCTGCCAAAAAACCCTCAAGCAAAAATATTTAAACCCTCAAACTCTCTTTCATCTCATCGTCTCACTCATTCCATTCGTTCAGCAGAGGCGTTTCAGCAGAGGAGTTCCAGGCGTCCAGCAGCTTCGTCTCTCTCGTCTTCACCTAGGCCGTTCACTGCAACTTCGTCACTCTTGTCTTCACCTAGGGCGTTCCAGCAGAGGAGTTAAGTTTTAAGTTCTCTCTCTCTCCACTTCTTGTTCTACTCTCCTCTGCTGGTAAGCACCCCCATCTCTCTCTCGCTCTATATTTAATATGCATATACCCTATTGAAGGTTACATCAATCGCTCTGATAAGTCTAAATTTGATTTTTTTCGAAATTAGTTTTATGCCTAAATTCTTGTTCTGGGTAAATTACTCAAGTTATTATTTTCATCTAGTCATCAGTGAGAAAAGTTTCATACCTATAGATACACAGAAAGAAACTGTTAAGTAATCGATGCCCTGTACTTTTCTGTTATTTTTTGAATTGCAGTGATGGAAGATAATGAAGAAAGCGAGTTTGAGAAGGAAAAGTTCTTAAAATTTGAACTCAAAGTGTGCCATGAAGCTAAATTACAAGAGTTACTGCGTAATATAACCTCAACTGAACTTAAATTATGTTCAGACGCCTCAAAAGAGTTCATCAAGTTACTGAAAGGTGATTCTGGAGGCGAATTGCTCCGCCAATACATACAAACGTCCTCAAAGTGCTCTGAGCTTCTACAAGCGTGGAAGGTCCGACAGGGCAAACCCGGATTATCATACATATTGTCACTAATTTCCACCATCTTATGTCATCCAGATGGAAAATACAGTCACGATGATCTGAAAGGTGTTGGTATGAGTAGGGATTTGGATAAATTTGCTCGTTTGATAGTTAACGAAAACTTGGGAGATCTTTATAAGGAACTGAATAGTAAAGAAGCAAAGCGCCAGAATGCTGTACTTTCTTTATTGGCGTCTGTTGTTAGACGTGGGTCAGGATTGGCCTCAGATGTCGCTAAGAATTTTGATTTTAAGCTTACTATTTTTCCTAAGCTCGCGGAGTGTAAACATAAGCGAACAGAGGTGAAAAGGAAGCATTCTACGAGAAAATCATTTGTCAGCTTTGCAATGTCCTTTTTGGAAGTGGGGAAACCTGGACTGTTAAGGTGGGTATTACAACAGAAGGAAATGTATTCAGGTGTGTTCCGTGGGCTTGCGAATGATGAGGATGAGATAGTTATTTATGTTCTGTCCACTTTACGGGATAGGGTTCTTACTCCGGAGTCATTGGTACCTCCAGGGCTCCGGAGTGTTCTGTTTGGGAGCGTTACTCTGGATCAACTAATCTGCATTTCTGGTAGGGAAAACGGTGGAATTGCTGCAGAGATAGCACACAGTGTCCTGGTTATGGTTTGCACTGACTCTTCCAATGGGTTGATGCCGGATTTGAAGAGACACCCTGATCCTTTAAGAGGCAATCCAAAGCGACTTTTGGGTCTCATGAAGAAGCTAAAATCAACAGAGGTTGATTACCATAGAGACCTGCTTTTGGATATTGCAAGTGGAAGACCATCTTTAGGTTCAGCATACCTGGACGAGTTCCCTTACAACCTGGAAGATCTTGCCTCACCCTCCTGGTTAGATTTTTTTAGACATTGTCTGAATTCATTCCTTTTGTTTGTTCATAGTTTATGCAGTGACTGAAGTAGTTGCAGGTTTGCTGCTGTTTCTCTGGCTGCAAAATTGGTTTCCTCAGTGGGCAACTGCATTCCTTTTTGTTTTCTTGATTCTCATTCTCAGGAGCCACCTTCCTTTAGCAGTCCAGATGTGCAGAATATTATCAAATGCATAGGTCCTCGTCCATTCACCCGATTGATAATAAATAAAGGGTTATTGCACTCTGATTCCCTTGTC